TTTCTGGCTCATTTACCCATGATAGTATGATAAGAAAGATATGTTACGTTGGTACTCGGTTGATTAAGACATCGGGTGCCCGTCGCGGCCCCTTCGGTTTGGGTCGTGACATGTTTGATGTCCATTTATGCAAATTGACCCTTCAAACAAATATTCTTCAAGAAGAAAAAAGAAACAATTTTTTTTTTAATATTGACTCATTTTGTGATGTTTCTTCCTCCAGCATGTATGTTTACTTTATTATATATGTAAGTAAACTTTTATTTGGTTTTGTAAACTCTTTTTTGTTATTTAGATAAACATAGACGTGTACCATATATATTATATTTATTTTAAAAGAATTTCATTTTATTCAAATCTAGCTACAGTGTTTCAAAGAACTATACTTATAGGATTTTAAATATGAAAGAGTTTTATAGTTATATGAAGTAGTTTTTTTTTGCTAGAGGCGAAGTAATATTTAAATAACTATAAAAAATAACAAAAGTTCCTAACATGATTGCGTATGATCATTAACCGAATTAAGTATGATAACATGATAAAAAGAGATAAATTTTATTTTTAATGTAAATTCGAATTTTAGAACTTTATCAATAAATTCAAAATTATCTTTTAATTCAAATTCCGTATATATATATATATATATATTCTGTATAATGATTATCTTTATAATGATGCAAGTGAAGATATTATATTTGTATTTAACTAAAATAGTCAAATATAGAATAAAGTTACCATATACTATTGATATTTATTAGCTTGTCACTTGGCTTAACCATAATGTCAATTATATATGATAATTTTCTTGCTTTAATATATATATAGATATAGATATTAGATTATTTTTACCTAAAGAATAGGTAATTGGTGATTCCAAAAATTTACCTTAAATCAATAAACTAAGTAATCAGCGCCGAATATATGATTTTCTTTTCAAGAAAAATGAAAAGGAAATAATAATAATACAAACCAAAATTAAGAAGGGGTAATATAGTCATTACGTAACAAAGGAGCTCACCGTCATTAAAAATTGGACAGGGGGTTTTTCAGTAAATTTAATACCTGATCGATTTACAAAACGAGAAGCCCAAACCGAGTCGAATAGAAAGGGTTTGGAGAAAGAGAGATAAGGAGGAGAGAAAAGGCTCGTTTTAAGTTTTTCGTTTTATAGTTTTAAGAACTTTTAACAAAAATTCAAAATCTCAAAAAATTAAATACAAAAACAGTCCTCTTCGCGCGCAGTTGTTAAGCCTCACTGGAGCCAGCCATGGTGGCTCAGGTAGTAGAGACCACCGTCGCTGCCGCCGACGATAGCGGAGGAATTGGAGGAATTAGAGGTTCTCCTATCGCCGTTGATGAATCTCAGGAGGAGCAGTTAGAGAAAACGAAGACGCTGATTTGCGCTCTCAATTTCCTCTCACGCAATCTCCCAATACCTCCTGACGTCTTCGATGCCGTCTCTTCAATTTACCACGGCGGCGCTGATGATATAGATGTCGGTGACGATGATGCCTCTGCCGCTGCTGACGTGGACAGCCGCGACAGTGTGTCTATGCGAGTGAGTAGTTAGAAATTCTTATTGAGATTAATATCTCTCTCTCTTTGAATATTTCGCATTATAGTAATTGTGCTAGAATACTCAATACTGTTACATTTCGCTATACTTTTATGTGATAGGTGTTGATACATATAGGCACTGAGTATATGATCTTCTCAGCTTTAGAGGGAAAAAAAGCAATACTAGGGCTTGATACGTTATTTGCTTTTCATTACATACATATGTGCATTAGAACCGCACATACTTATGTTATACACACATATATACATATAATGTATATGTATTCCATACTTTTAGATGTACTACATACAGGCACAATGCACTATATGTTTAGATGCAGATACTAAAGGCAGTGATGGAGCTAGGAATTTCAGCAAGGGGATTCAAAAAATGCGAACTTGCAATCTAAAACAAATTTTGAACTACCTTTGCCACTACATGATAACTTCCTTTATGTCAAGGGGATTCAAAAGTTATTATATAGACGAAAAATGTTTGTTTTTGCCCTATTTACACATTATAATTTTCTAACAAAGGGGATTAAATTGAATCCTCTTCATTGGTTGTGGCTCCGCCACTGCCTACATAGTATACTTTTCTCAAGGTTATAAAGAAGTTAAAACAAGACTAGGGCTTAATACATTATTTGCTGTTCAATTTACCTTTCTTGTCTTCTTATTAAAGTTAATCCTTTTCCTCAAGATTTTTCGCTCTTGTAAATACTCTATGTTGCTGTTGTTGTTTTAGTAGAGGTTTCAGTAGAGGTCATTTGGGTAAAAGTTAACAAATTGGGTTGTGAAGTATATCAGTATGCAGTTTGTGTTGATTGGTATGTGGTTTTTGTATGTTTAAGCATGAAGAAATAGGTATCTTTTTTTAAGAGAAACTTTTTTCCTAGAGGATGAGTTCTTAAATTTTGTGTAATTTGAAGTTGTTGATGAAGCATATCTGAGTAGTCAAGCTATCATTTGTTTATTTGCTTAATTTGAGATCTGAACCATGATTGAGTTGGACCAAGAAAGAAGTCATTTTCAAATATTATGCCTCTTACTTTAGTCTTTAATGCTACCAATATGTTTTTCCTTATATGCAGAATGGTTCAGGTATGGGAAGTTACGGAGACCTGATGGCAGATTTTGAGGATTCGTTGTTGAGGCAACGGTCAAGTTGTACATCAGGTTCTGGTTTGACAAAGTTAAAGGAAGATCGTTTTCAAAGCCATATCCAGCATCGCCTAACTGAACTTGAAGGTAAGTGTAGCTCAGAAATAATGGATATCCGTGGAATCGTTTGACATGGTTCTGCATATATTTAGAGCTGTTTTAAACATGATGTGGAGATTTTTACATAGCGTCATTAGTTTTTTTTTGCGTTGATATGTTTTTAGAATGGTTTTTGCCTTTCACTTTTGAGGCTATAGAATTTGAGGTGCTACATCCTCTTGCTAGTGACATAATTAGGTTTATTGAAATGCTTAGTAGGCATCCTCCTTAGCAGATAAGTGGTTCGACGAATTTGATTTTGTCATAGTATTCATCAGAGTGAATCTATTTAGATTATGAGAAAAAGGCCTATATTGGCCAATTCATTAGTTCTTAGAAATGCTCTCTTTGAACATGCCCAACCGTGCAGCTCCTAATACCAAAGCCGCATTATCTTCATCATTATCTTTTATCTTTTTCTTTTTGGGAGAGAACAGCATGCATCGTTATCTTTTCTGTTTGACAATGGATAATCAAGTTTGAGCATAACCTGTTGACGCATGTTATGCGTGTGCTGGGGCTTAATGTAGGTTTTGGTTGTTGCGAGTCTAGCTGTTTGCTAAATTTTGGCTTTCAATGTAACTATCATCGCTCTTTGTTCTTACTATATCATTGCACCTCTCTACTGGTTTTGTCAAGTTATAAGTAACCCCCACCCCAGCCCAACCCAAAGTGTTCTGTTAGCACAGAACTTGGATAATAAGATTATCTTGTTGATATACTTATATTCAGCAATGCTGTGTGCCCTTTATGCCAGCCCTTCTTATACATGTGGCAAATAGCTTATACTTTCATCTATTACCAGACTTGCCAACCAACAGAGGCGAGGACTTGCAATCGAAGTGCTTGCTGGAGCTTTATGAACTAAAGGTAAAGGAACATGTGGCATGGTGTTGTTTAATAAGACATATGACCGCTATTCATGATCTGTCCATTGCAAAGGTTTATAAGGGTTTTCTTTTTTGATATACATTTTCGTCTAAGTTGTATTCAACCACGCCAGTTATCTTGCAAATCAATTGTAAGATATCCACCCCGCTTTAAGGTACGGTGAAATAAACAGTAGTATTTCTGACCTTTCTGTGTTACATTTTTAAAAAAGCATAAAGGTATGCTTCTAACTATGACTTACTGGAACTATGTCGTCAGTGAAACAATAGTATTACAATTTTCTGTAGTACATCCCTTATCTTATGTAGCATGGGTACGGATCCGAGTGTTATACTCTGCATGACCTATGAGTACAATATGAAGATACAGAAATTTTGATTATGGGATATGATGCACCAATTTGGGGGCAAGATTATGTCCACATTTTTTATATATTTCATCATGTTCTACAATCTTATGAATTTTTCCAGAAGCATTGATGTCTATTCAAAATCAAAGTAAGAAGCAAATATACACATGCTACTCAAACCTATCAATATAATGATAAAAAGTTTCTGAAACATTAAATACAATAGGAATTTATCAATATTGAGCTTAAGCAAGAAAGTTTGTTATTATGATAATAATGATCCCAAATCTTCCTTTTATAATTGCCTTTTGGCCCATAATTATCCAATAGACTCAAAATTTGGGATATCCTAAAATAAGAATAACTTGTCAGTTGTCGCCCAGAAAACAATATAACTTTGTTCTTTTGATACAGAAGTGGTTACTTTGTTCTTTTGATACAGAAGTGGTTCCCAGTTCAGAATTTAGTTCAAGTGCTTCATTGCCCTAATCCCCATTAGTACCTGCCATACTCCCAAGCATCTGTAGCTCAGCAAATTATGAAACTAATCCATCTCCATTATGCTTAACCTGGGAGGAATTCTTTGTTTTCTGCATCATATGCGCTAGTGGACAGACTAGCCACCTATTTGAGCTTCTATTTTTTGGCTGTAGAAGTGGTGTAGGTGGTTGGCAATGGTTTTACTTCTCATTGTTATTTCTACTTTGCAGTTAGCAGATTTACAATGCAAAGTTCGGTCTGAACTGAGTTCTGAATACTGGCTTCGCCTGCATTGCGCTAATCCTGACAAGCAATTGTTTGACTGGGGGATGACGCGATTGCGACGCCCTTTATATGGTATAGGAGATGCCTTTGCTGTGGAATCTGATGATCCTTTGAGGAAGAAGCGTGATGCGCAGGTAAAGTGATATATGCCTTGGAGCCTGTCAATTGTTCCATATATGTGATAGCGACAGTTGTCAGACTCAAGTTAATGTTTTTAAGCACAAAGGGTGTAGATGCTTTCTTTTTTCCTCTCAATTTCAAAGATGGGGGTTTGATCTTGATATAGGAAAGTACAGATAGTCTTAGTCATATCTGCTATCTATTGATAAGGCTGAGAAGAGAGCTACGCTGAGAATTTGGAATTTTAAGAATCCGTCCACTGTCTTTAATTCTTGTGACTCCATGATAGGAAGCTTTTATATACTAATTTTACAGAATTTGATGTCAGAAGCCTGTTGGTAACAACAATAATTTTTTTGCAGAGGTTGTCAAGATTAGAAGAAGAGGAGAGAAACCGTGTGGAAACTACAAAAAGAAAGTTCTTTGCGGATGTACTCAACGCAGCACGTGAACTCCAATTACAAGTACAGGCTGTTCAGAAACGGCGGAAACAAAGGAACGATGGTGTTCAGGCATGATATTGTTTACTTTCTCCTATTTTTTCTACTGTCTATTCATTTATTCAACTCCATGTGCATAATTGAAAATGCCATGAACCAAAATTGAGTTGTGACCTAGAGAGCGGATGCAGTCTTCAGCTGTTATACTCTTAGAATGTGGCGGATTTTATCTTGGCTAAATGAAGCAATCTCTGTTTCATAGGCTTGGCATGGAAGGCAAAGGCAACGGGCTACTCGTGCTGAGAAACTGAGGTTACAAGCTCTGAAAGCTGATGATCAAGAAGCTTACATGAAGATGGTGGAAGAAAGCAAGAATGAAAGATTAACAATGCTTCTAGGGAAAACAAATGAGCTCCTTGGTCGTCTGGGAGCTGCTGTTCAACGGCAAAAAGATGCTGACCATGATGGTATTGAACCTATGGAAGGCTCAGATGCTGAAATGGCCCCTTCTAAGACTGGAACTCCTGGGCAGTCGCTTCCTGAGGAAGAAAAGGATGTTCTTGATAATGAGCCCACCCGTGATGTAAAGACTAGTGACTTACTTGAAGGTCAGAGAAAGTACAATTCAGCTGTACATTCAATCCAGGAGAAGGTAAAGGGACATGCCTCTTCTCTGTTATCTTTTACTTTAAATATTCCAGGGAGTCTTGTTGGAAGTTGTTCCTAAGTTTCAGGTATTGAATGCATGGTTGGTAGCAAAAATTGAACCTTCCAGAGGTTTTCTAGATTTAGAATCTCATCCTTTCTTCTAGTTCTTTGGTCAATGTGTTTGAGTTTCATATTGGTTGTGATTGAGTGTCTTCTCATTTCATAGCAGGGTTACCATATTCAGAAACTATTGCTGTTGATTATTTCAGATGATCTCGTCAGCGTTTTGTTACTCATGACTGCTGTTTCGTTATTACATAAGAAAATCTATCTTTAATCTAATCATGAAATTTAATTAAGTGCAAGTATTTAGATTCTGATCAGTTGTATTCTATAACGTGAATATATGGTTAAACTGATTCGCTCCTTAAGTTTCTGTTCTTACTTTGTTTTATGGAAATATTAGACCTAGCATGTTGCCAAATTATCTGAATTGAATGACTATTCGGATATGTTGTGAGACTCTTTTTAAGCTCCACTACTTTATGTTGTGGAACTGAGCGAACTAAACCATAGAATGTCTTACCTCTTTTTAGTTATGCACTTTGTGTTGGTGTCATCGTCCTGTTTTGCCTCCAGACCAGCTTCACCATTCAGGTTTTATGATATATTTTCTTTTAAGTCTTAAGAAGCCAAGAATCTGTACTAATTTTATACCACATCCAATCTTGATTTCTATTATCCAGTCCCAAAATATCATGTTACGTCCATTATTTATTTGTTTCTAATCTCAGCCGAATGGCTTCAAGCTGATGTACAAGGATCTTACCGTTTATGACTAACTCCATGACGATTGCAATATAGCTGTTTTCCCTTTTACAACTGAAATCTTATTAGTATTTCCATCCCTTGTTTTGTGTTAGTGCTTTTGCAAATCTAATGCAGTATTCATATTTGTAGGTTACGGAGCAACCAGCTATGCTTCAGGGTGGAGAATTAAGACCATACCAGCTGGAGGGGCTCCAGTGGATGTTGTCTTTGTTTAATAACAATTTAAATGGAATTTTAGCGGATGAAATGGGACTCGGCAAAACTATCCAGACAATTTCTTTAATTGCTTATCTTATTGAAAACAAGGGTGTAACTGGTCCCTACTTGATTGTGGCTCCAAAAGCTGTACTACCTAATTGGATTACTGAATTCTCTACATGGGCTCCCAGGTATGCACGGGTCTCTCTCTCCCTCTCTCTCAGCAGGGATGGATTTTGTCTGTTTAAAGGTGCACTGTGCATCACATTTCATGGGATTTTTTCGCTTGCAGCATTGATGCTGTTCTTTATGATGGTCGTCTGGAAGAAAGGAAGGCACTGAGGGAGGAGTTAACAGGAGAGGGGAGGTTCAGTGTGCTGATCACGCATTATGATCTTATTATGAGAGACAAAGCATTTCTGAAAAAAATTCATTGGCACTATCTGATTATTGATGAAGGGCACCGATTGAAAAATCACGAATGTGCTCTTGCACGGACTCTCGTGTCAGGGTATGTGAAATGTAGTTTTTTGTTAAGTTGCTAATGTATAAGAATGTTAACCAAAAAGGGGTAGGAATAAGAGCTTATGACAATCTTCTTATTTATGAGTTATGGATTTGCTCCTCTCAGTTAAATTTTAGCACTCACCTTTGCTGATAAAGGTATAATCTGATGCACTGGCACGCAATCGAATGAGTAATGAGTTTTATCTTAACAAAACTATTATGGGGATATGCCAAAAATTGGGAAGTCATTTCTTGGCAGTTCAATTTTCAAGGATAAAAGTTCAGATATGCGAAGCGTTCCTCTAATAAGGTACGTAATATTTGCAGCTATCGGATTCGTCGGAGACTTCTGTTGACTGGTACCCCGATCCAAAACAGCTTACAGGAGTTGTGGTCTCTTCTCAATTTTCTTCTTCCAAACATCTTTAATTCAGTGGAGAATTTCGAGGAGTGGTTTAATGCCCCCTTTGCTGATAAGTGCGACGTCTCTCTAACTGACGAAGAGGAGTTATTGGTTATTCGCCGGTTGCACCATGTACGTCTTGGTTCATGATTCGCTGATATACACTTCTTTCCTGCCTATCTAGAATTTATTGCACCGTATCAAATGCACTTTATGCTTTCTTGATCTAATGCTTTTGACTACTTTTAGGTAATAAGGCCATTTATATTGAGGAGGAAGAAAGATGAAGTGGAGAAATTTCTTCCTGGGAAAACACAAGTTGTTCTTAAATGTGATATGTCTGCTTGGCAGAAAGTATACTACCAGCAGGTCACGGATGTCGGGAGGGTTGGATTGGATTCTGGTGAGTAGTAGCTGACGTCCAGAAAGAATTGCGTTTAATCCATTCCTTTTAGACATGGTTGAACTTAAAGATTGTATTTTATTTTATTTTATTTTTATTTTTTTTGCGTTGGGTGGGGCGGATATGAATTCCTGGAGAGGGGAAGGGAAAACAACTGTTCTTTGAATACTCTCTCTCTCTCTCCCTCTCTTCCTCTATTTCTCTTGGGCCCCTACAGATCCATTGCTCTGAAATCAACATCCTTAATGATGCCTTATACAGCTCCTGTGCTCTGTTTTTTTTCTTCCCGTTTTTTGTTTCCCTGATAGAACTTTTTGCAAAAGCAGCAATCTATAGGTTCTGATAATTTATCATTAATGGCTAGAATCTAAAAACATTGGTAGGATATTGCTTTAGTAAAATTATTGCTGAGGCTATAATTAATCTGTAGCCAAATAGAATAAATTTGCTGACAATGTGACTTCGCAGGAACTGGGAAGTCTAAGAGCCTACAGAATCTCACCATGCAGCTAAGGAAATGTTGTAATCACCCATATCTATTTGTGGGTGATACTTCTTCGTATTATCGTAAGGAGGAGATAGTCAGAGCATCTGGAAAATTTGAGCTTCTTGATCGTTTACTACCCAAACTCCGCAGAGCAGGGCACAGGGTACTCCTCTTCTCACAAATGACCCGCCTCATGGACATTCTTGAGGTCTATCTGCAGCTTCATGACTTTAAGTATCTGAGACTNTAGACTTGATGGCTCAACCAAAACAGAGGAAAGAGGGACTTTGCTAAAGCAATTTAATGCTCCTGACTCACCTTACTTTATGTTTCTTTTGAGTACTCGTGCCGGAGGACTCGGTCTGAATTTGCAAACAGCAGATACTGTGATAATATTTGACAGTGACTGGAACCCTCAAATGGACCAGCAAGCAGAAGATAGGGCACATCGGATTGGGCAAAAGAAAGAAGTTAGGGTTTTTGTGTTAATCAGTGTAGGATCAATTGAAGAGGTCATATTGGAACGTGCAAAACAGAAGATGGGCATTGATGCTAAGGTCATCCAGGCTGGATTGTTCAATACAACATCTACAGGTTTGTCTTGTACACAGATCTAGTTTTGGAGAACCCTCCACACCCCAAGCCCCTGCCTTCTTTACTTTTCTTATGGGGAAGAAGCAAATCAGGTTGAATTATAAGAAGAAATTGCATTATCTTTTCTGTAGAAGTATGGAGACTAGATTCTGAAAATTCTACTAATACTTTAGTTTACTTGCAATAATTGTGCTTTTACCAAGAATCGCCTGTGTACTGTCAACACGTTAGTCTCAGGAATGCTGACTGAAGCTTTTATTCATGGTCTTGCTTCTTGATCCTCTTCATAATCCATTCCGACTGACTGTCTTTGTTCTTCATGCAGCTCAAGAGAGGAGGGAGATGTTGGAAGAGATCATGCGTAAAGGTACAAGCACCCTTGGAACAGATGTGCCAAGCGAAAGAGAGATT